GACACGTGACCACAGGCGTGGTGGCTTAAAACAACACCAATACGTTAACTCACATTTTTGGGAGTCAGCAGTCTGAAGTGGGTCTCCCTGGGCTAATGCCAAGGTGTCCTCAGGGCCACGTCCCTTCTGGAGGCCCCAGGGGACCATCCGCTCCCTTGCGTTTTCTTGCTTCTAGAAGCCACCACGCATCCTTGGCTTGTGGCCCCTTCCTCCAATTCAAAGCCCACCACGGCCCGTAGACACTTGGCCACATCTGTCCCGTCACTCTTGGCTCTGCCCCCCCTGCCTTCCTCTCTCACAAATAAGGACCCTGGGGTGCCATTGGACCCACCAGATCATCCAGGGTGCCTCCCCGGCCCCCATCTCAAGGTTGGCTGCTTTTCAACATTAACTCTTCCGGGCAACGCACCACCGTCACAAGTCCTGGGGGTTAGGACGGGGGCGCCTTCCGTACAGTCCCGCTGCTGTCCTTTATGGTGTCGGATGCCCCTCCCCCCACCGCAGGCAGGCAGTGAGCAAATAACAGTAACCCCTCCCGGAGCCCCTCCAAACACTGATGCCTGCTGTTTCCTTCCCCGGCCCGCACCTCACCCCAAACCTGCCCGACCGCCCGATGCCAAGCGACGGCGAAGTCCACACGGAGTCTGGGTTCCCGCCACCTGCTCCCGCTGAGCCGGTAAGTTCGTTTCTGGGACCGTAATGCTGAGTTTGAAACCCATGCAAGGGTGAGCTTCTCGCTGCCCCCTGCCAGTTCCTGTCACAGGCCCTATTTATAATCGTGTAAATAATAGAAAAACATACTCAAGCTGCCCTCCCCAAGGAGCCCCGGTCTCCTATTTTTAGGCGGTCAGCCCTACCTCCTGAGGGCCTGGGTCCCTCCCTCTGTGGTCTGGGTTGAGACAGAGACGCTAGTGGCTGTGGTGGGAGGGGGGACCGTTCTAAAATCCCCTCGCAGAAACACTCCCCCAAGACTGAGAGTGGTTTCCTCAGACGTGGGGGCTCGACACAGGTTCAAGGGCACATTCTGTTTGTCTGTCTCACCGGGGACATCGTGGGAAAGGGAGGGCTTGAGGGGACAAGAGAGACAGGCTGACTATTCAGTCCTGGATCTCCTCCCTCTGCCAGCCACTCTACCCTTGCTGAGTCCTCTTTAGAAAGAAGGGCCCATTATACAGATGAGGACGTCGAGGTTCGGAGCAGCCAAGTGGCCAACCCAAGGGCAGAGCCCGTCCAACCCAGATCTGAATGTGTCTCCTGCAACACGCTGTCACCCAAGAGTAGCTTAAAAGACCAGGTGCCTTGGGTGAGAAAGTGTTCTGTAGGAGATCATGTTAATTCAAAACACAAATTGGGGGTGATTCTTCTCCGACTGCATTCACGTTACAACCAAGAGACGGGGAACTGTGGGAGAGTGTGAGGGCCTGAAGGAGCGTAGGGGACAGACCTAGTCGGAGCCCAGAGGCAGGTGTGGGCCCCGCCTCCCCTTTGTTCCCCTCCCTGGGCCTGTTTAATGAGCATCTCTCACTGCTCCCTATTGTTTGAAGTGGTTTGGCTGTGGTCCTCTCTAAATCACAGGCTAAGCGGGATAGCACTTCGAGTCCCTGTAAATTTCTCCGAGTCCGTGGCCTGAAGATTAAAAGTGTCTTGTTGCTCGCAGAATGCTGCCCAGCCCTGGAAACACCCCCAAGCTCAGAGACCAGAGGGACAGGGGAGCGGGCCCAGAGAAGACTAGGAACAGCCATTTACCCAGCACACACCTGCACTCTGATTCGGGCTCACGGCCCCTTCCGAAACACCTGGGTTTCCCACCCATGGAACAGCCCCTCGGGGCTCCTGCAGCAGCTATGCCCCACCACTGTGCCCTGGGTGACGGTGGGCTCTCGCCTTTCCTTCCAGCCTCTGGGATCCCTGCACTCAGGGGCTGACTCCTTCACTGCAGTGTCTGAATGCCTGGCACTAAGGTGTGGGTGGGTGAGCAAGCGAGTGAGTGAATGAATGAATGAACTTACGAGTAAAGGCGAGAGTCTGCTGACTGCAGTTGTCTCAGACTGCTTGTAAGAGCAATGCATTAAATATTCACGAATTTTGCAAGCCCAAATTGTTTAATTATTGAGAGCGTGAAACCAACCACAGTGGGCATATGTATACCAGAAAATAAACCAACAAGTGCTTCGAATCGGGCTCCCCTCCCTGTCTCCACAGCCTGTTTATCAGAGCACCACAGTGAGCTCTTACCCCGTCAGGTAAGCTCTCACGGCCACCACTGCTGTTGCCTTTGTACAGATGGGGAAACTGAGGCCCAGGGAGGTGACGTCACTTGCCCAAGTGTGGTTAGTAGCCGTCCTGGAGGGGCAGGTCGGGGAGAACCTGGGCTCAGCGGCCCGTGAAGGCCTCACAGGCACCCGCCACTCTCATCACGGCCGTGGTTTTTAATCAGCTCCTCCAGGAGAAGAGACGCAGTTGCCTGGTGACTGAAGTGTTTCCCGGCCCTCGGAAGGTCATGCTGCGTGCGTGCAGGAGGATGGAGATCGCCACGCGGGCGCCCCTCAGCCAGGGCTGCAGACGACACATCCAATCAGCCGAGCCAGGCCCCCCACGAAGCTCCAGACATCCTTGGTGACGCCAGCAGAGCCATGGGTGAGATTGAATTAGAGCTGTGACGCCCCGGAAGAACGCAGGCGGGCTTTGTGTGCCGGGAGCCCCCGCGGTGTGTGTGCATCACGGCCAGAGAAGGGGACAAAGCCCCGGCGGAGGGCGGAGCCCCCCAAACTCCCGCATATGTCCGTCCACCCAGGATTTGCCTGTGGTCTGTCCCTTTGGGACCACAGTTGGGGACAATCACGGACTCCCCAAAGCTCAGCTTAGGGGATAACAGAGTCTCCAAAGGCCCTTGTGTACCCCCCTCCGTGGTCACCTCCCCTGTGTCAGTGTCCCCAGTGTCACTTCCTTAGGAGCGGAAGCATGGCTCCTGGACCCAGCCAGAGCCCCGAACACAGCAGGTGCCCCATAAGTGTGCAGGGAATAAATGGAGGAGGGAAGGAAGGAAGGTAGGAACTCACAGGTTGTGCCTTGGCCTGTGCACCTTCCTGCTGCCACAGGGAGCTCCTGAGTATTTTTCCTCGCCCCTCCGTCAGGAGAAAATCCCCCTCGATCACCCCCTCCAGCCTTCTCTGGGCTAAGGTGGCTAGGTTCCGCCTCAGACCCAAGAGAGCACGTGGGGACCCTGGGAGTGCGTCTGGGGGGAAGCGATCACCCCAGGATCCTGAGAGGAGGCCCTGGCCATAGGAGGAGGGAGGGGGAGGCGGAAGGAACAAGAAGTGTAAATGCTTGTATGGGAGCTGACCGCAGCCAATGGGTCTTGAGACGAAGTTGCCGCTCCAGACAGGTGGCGGGATAAAGACCGGCCCCCTGGACCCCACACCCTGGGGGGCCTCTCTGTGGTCGCCTGGAGGGCAGGGCAAAGCCATGGGACCCCTCACTGTCCCTGAGCACCATCCCTGGGCCCCCATCCACCCACTTCCCTGCCCCCCCCACACTCTTTACCTCCGGGAGCCACCCCACCCAGGAGAGGAGAGGCCTTTGTCTCTGTCCCCAGCAGAAAGCCCCATCACTGAATTCTTGAATAATTTAACATAACATTCCAGGAACTGATACTTGAAGTCAGAATAAAGTTGTTCCCAGCAGTTGTGGGCAATTCCCGAGGGGCCCTGGGATCCCCATTTCTGACCCCAGAGCCCATCTGGATTCCTTCTGACCGAAAAATGCAGTCTCCAGGTCAGCCGTCCAGCTGGCTCAGACCAGCAGGGGCCCAAAACCCAACATGTGCCCCCTCGGCTAGGTTTCAGCACCACCCGAGGGTGCTTTTGAAAGGCACTTTCCACAGCCCTCTGGAGGCCTATGGGCAGCTGGATTTCCAAACGAGATGCAGCTGACTCTGCTTCTCTGGCCAGTGTGAGGAGCCCCCTGGTGGCTCCGAGAGGCACCTCTGCCCCTGGAAAGAGTGGTGAGCCTGGGCTTGGGCCTGTGGCCAGCGACCGGCAGCCCCCCCCCAGCACCTGTGAGGCTGATGTCGGTGGGCCCCCCTAAGCCTCCGTGAATACCTGGAGTCCCTTGCTCCCACCCCAGCACTACCGCAGAGCCTGGCGCCCAGGACACTCACACGCCCATCACTGATGACCCCTTCAGCCGCCCCTGAGCCTGGGAACCAGGAAGTGTGACTGGTTTTCAGCTCTCCTGCGTGACCTCTCTGAGAACCGGCTTCTCACCTGCAAAGGGGGCGTGCCTCCACCGATACCACCTTGAGCTGGGCCCCATGCCGGTCCCTTCCGATGGGACCTCTCATTCACTACATTATCCCCGTTTTCAGGAGAAGAAGGAATCCCGGCCAGACACCTGGCAGGACCAGCCTCCCACCCTCACCTTCACCCCACTCTCCCCTCCCACCCCCAGCCCCGCCCCTGCCCCAGCCTGGTTACAGGACCCGGTCCCTTTAAGCCATTTTAACGCAGAGCTTCTCCCATTCACTCAGGGGCCACCAGCATCGCATCTCCGGGGGTTTGAAACAACGCAGCCCTCTGGGCCCTGCCTGAGTCAGAATGGGGGGCGGGGAGTGCAGAGCTCCTGCTCCTAAAGTTTGGGACCCCCCCCCTTCCCCACGCCACTCCTGTGCTGTGTGGCTAGGCTGGGCCGCTTGGTTGGCACGCGGGTGTGTCCACTTCATTGGGTGCTGGGGGGAGGGGCTCTCGTGGAATAAGCCGAGCGAAGCACCTGGTGCGCATTCAAGGTGGATCACTATTGTTGTATCCTTTATTGCTGTTCACCACGGAGCTAATTAATGCTCGCCGTCCTCCTTCACTGCCCCGGGGGAGTTTCCCTCTTGCGATCTGGGAGGGTGTGTGGTGGAACCGGGGTGGGGGTGGGGGTAGGCAAGGAAACCTCCGGTGATCCGCCTCTCCTCTGTTCACGCCCCAACTCGGCCCCCACCTGCCTCTTCCAGAGCCTGCGGAGGTGCGGAAGCGGCGAGACACGACCCGCCAGGCCGCCGCCATCGCGACTGAGGAACCTCGGAGGTGGGCTCCTCGGTCCTTGCTCCCGGCCATTCCGGCCCTGGGCGGGGCGCTCCCCGCACCCCGCAGTGCGCGAAGTCGGCGCGCGCTAGGACCGCGGCGCGCCGCCGCCCGCCGCTTTAAGAGGCCGCGCTGCCGCCCCACGCGGAACCCGCGGCTCAGACCGCTCCCGGCGTCCTGACTCGAGTTGAACCCGAGGCCGGACCGGCCGCTGCGCAGTCGACGCCAACCGAGGGACGCGCGCCAGGGGGCCCTCGCAGCGGGCACCATGGGAGCTGCCCACTCCGCGTCCGAGGAGGTGCGGGAGCTCGTGGGCAAGACCGGCTGTGAGTATCTCGCGGGGGACGGGCGCGGGGACACCGGCCGGGACCGTCAGAAGGCTCGCACGGGGAGTCCCAGCCCACCGCCGCCCTCCCGGCTTCGCGCCGCCTGCTGTGTGACCTTGGGCTGGCCGGCCCTCTCCGCCTCAGTGTCCCCCACGTTCCAATGGGCTCCCGCCGGCCACTTTGCAGGCTGCGGCGAGGAGCCCCGCGGCGATGCTGAGTAAGTGCCGCGGCCACTGACCCTGCCTGGGTGCCCTCGAAGTTAGCGGGTAACCTCGGGGCCTGAGGACTGCGGACCCAGGGGCGCGCGGGGTCCGGTCCCCACCCCCAGCAACTCAGGGCGGGCGCCCAGGCGGGGAGAGCGAGCGCCGGGCTGGTGCGCGCCCTGCACCTGGAAGTCGTTTGGATTCCCGATGCGCAGGGGGCGGAAAGTTTTGAAGTGGCGGCAGCTGGGTGGGAGCCGGGCTCTGACGCCGTCCTCCCGTCTGTAAAATGGGCTCAGGTGGGCGCAGCTCCCCGGGGAAGCTGAAGCGAGGCAGCGCCCGCACAGCACTTGGCAGAAGCCCGGCGACCTTCCTCGAGCCCGCCGGGGCTCCCGGGACGCGCAGAGGCGAGGCGCACCGGGAGGCGGGACCGCGGGCCGAGGTGACCCCAGGGACCGGCGGGGTGGAAGCGCCTGTCTGTCTGCTCGCCCAGGTCCAGCCGGGCTGGAAACTTGACCGTGGGCCCTGACCTCGGGGGGCGGGGTGCAGCCGCCGGCCGTGAAGAGGAGTGCGGACTGTAGACCAGCCAGACGGGAGAGCGGGCCCGGCGGCTTTGGGGGTGGGCAGACTGGGTGTGCGCCCTTCCTTCCTAGCTGTGTGACCTGGGACGAGTCGGTTTTACTTCTCAGAGGCTTGGTTTCCTTCTCTTTGGAATGGGATTTCCGCTCGCACCTGGTCGGAGCTCGGGCAGCGCAGCTGCAGATGTTAATGTCTACGGAGGAGCCGGCGGCGCCGGCACCTGCTCTGAGTTAGTGCCGACAGCCAGCCGGCATCCTAGGCAGTCCGCGGAGGAAACCCGCCGCGTGTGCGCGTGGGCTGAGAGGCGACTCCCCGGCCCCTAACCTGAGCACCTCTGTCCGGGGTAATTGGATGGAAATTACAGAAACCCCCGAACAGCTGGGCTGTGTGTGCGGGCATGCACACACACACGCCCACACTTGTCTATATGTCTTCCTGTGTACGAATATAGGACTGTCAGCAGCTAGAGGGAAAAAGGGTGTGCAGTGATACAGAATATGGGACTCTTTCGAAAAAGGGAGGGAGGCTAAGCGTGCATTTGTAATTGCTTTATCTGCACCAAGGACTCTGGAAGGCCCCGCAGGCAGTAAGAATAATGAATATTTATGGGGGGTTGTTGTGGGCAGGGTGAAGGGGGAGTGAGCTTCTCACTGTAAACTTTGTCATATTTTCATTTCGAACCACATGCGCCTCTTTTACGTCTTCAAAATGTCAAGTCCAGGCCACCCCCCAGGCGGATGGAGGAGGTAGGGTTCCCCTCTCCCCCCTGACTTCTCGGGTTTCCCCTGTCTTCCTCATGTCTTGAGTGCCTTCTCACCGTCACCCACAGTCTTGTATCTGGACTGCTGGAGGTGGGGGTGCTCTGTAGCTGGGAACCGCTCACCCCCCCAGAAGGGTGGATTGGCCACCGGCCCCCATTTCTGAGGCAGCCCCCTTGGCAGGCAGGCAGGCAGGCAGGCTGGGGGAAATTCCGGCTGGTTGTGGGTTTGACAGGTGATGGAGCTGCAGAGCATGCTGGGAAGCTTGTCAGTTTCCTGGGTCCCCTGTCCGTGGGGGGGAGGGGCGGCAGACGCTGAGTGCTCCTTCTCTAGCTTTCCTGGATGCGTCTCTCTCACTGGCCAGGACGCAGGTTTCACACCCCAAGGGAGGAAGGGAGCCGGAGGGTGCTGAGGGGAGAGTGCACGCCTTCGGTTTTCTGGACTGGGAGGAAAGAGAAAGGTCTCCCTCGGCCTCTGAGAGGGGCTGGCACAGTCTGGGCTCTTCTGCCTGTTGGGCGGGTAGGTACGGACCAGGGGGAGACGCACAGTGTCACCCAGTCAGCTCCGTGAAGTAGACAACATGGGGGTGGTGTGGGGGTTGGGGAGGAGGGGCAGGGATGCGTTCTTTAAGGTGGACCCGAGGTCCTCTCTGAGGAGGTGGTAACGGAACGCAAACCCGCATGAGGGGGGGCCGGCCCTTCGGTCAGTGGAAGGCGCGTGTCGGGGCAGAGGGCACCGCAGCGGCGAAGGTCCGGCGGCAGGAATGAGCTGAGGGCATGGCCACAGTCAGGGCCCGGTGTGTGGCTTTGGGCGAAGGTCCGGTGGTGCTGGCTGTGCTGCGAGCACATGGGGACGGCCAGGTCACTCTGAGCCACGGCTGAAATCAAACCTTGGTCCCACTTCTCCCCGGCCACGTGACCGTCAGCGAGTCACTGTGCCTCTGGGTCCTGGGCTCTCCCGAAGGAAGGATCGGCCCGGCCCTCCCTGAGGACCCCACCTGGACACCGAGAAGGGCGAGCACAGGATGCTGATGGAGTCCCTGGGCGTGCGGTTCTGTGCTGCGCACTTGGCGTGCACGCTGGTGGGGTCTTCCTGATAACCTTCCAGGGAAGGGGGTGGTATGCTGTTTCAGAGATGAGGAAACCGAGGCCCAGGGGGGGTACAGCAACCTGCCCGAGGTCCCACAGCTCCTGAGGTCCCACAGCTCCTGAGGTCCCACAGCTCCTGAGCAGAGGAGCGGAGGAGTGGAGGAGTAGAGGAGGAGGGGCGCAGGATCCCCAAGCCCCTGTCCTGCCACCACTCGGTTTTCAGTTTTCACTGTGACTTCTAGGAACCCAGAAGGGGCAGGAAACGCCTGTTTGCACACTTTTCTCACCTCCGGGCCTTTGCACGAGCTGTCCCCTCTGCCCTCTGCCACAGTGAGACGGCACTCCGCAGGATTTGGTGTTTGCACTGGGGAACCCCCTCCCCAGGGGAAGGTTGCAGGCATCCCCCCTTCCCTCTACCTCTTCGCAGAGCTCACGCTCTGTGGACATCATTCGGGCTCAGCGGGGCTGTTGCTCCCTCCCAGAAAGCCACCCCTGGCCGCTTACTCTGCAGCTGACTTTTGTGGGGCACACGCCCATCCTCAGGGTCCCGCAGCCCCTGCATTCTCTCCCGTACCAGCTCGTATGACAGCCTGGTACGGTTTGTCCCCTGTCACTGCCTTGCAACGTGGAGCTCCCTAAGATGGGGATGACTGTCTTCTCACCTTTGTAACACAGCGCGTGGTCCTTGCTGAGAACACGGGGGGTTCACATTAAAGGGGTGATGACCTTGGAGACTTGGTGAACCCAGGAGTGTTGCCCAGGGGCCCCTGTCCAGGAGAAAACCTAGTCCCCTGCCCCTTACCAGCTGGCCTTGGCCTCGCTGGGCCCTCCCAGGCCCCCCACCCCCACCCCAGCGTTTCTGGTTCCCTCCTTGCCATGCATCCCGTCGGCTTCGGCGCTGAAGGAGCTCCACCAAATATAGTGCTGAGCACTAGCTCGCCCACACGGGGCATCGCCGGGGCTGCACGCCCACTCCCCTTGCTGGGAAAGTCTCACGGATTGGCTGAAAACGTAAACAGGCGCTCCCCACCCTCGCTGCCGAGCCAAGACAGCTGATGACTTGGGTTTCTGAAACGCATTGGAAACCCCGGCACCGGCCGATCCGATCCAGCCCAGCGTGCACCCCGAGGTGCCAAACGGTCCCTGGACAGGAAGAAAGGCCCCCTAGGAATCACCCACCCGAGACCGTGCCCCTTCACCACCTTGAGCTGGCCTGGAGGTAGCCCCGCTTCCTGTCCCCCCCCCCCGCCCCCCCACCTCTGTGCCTGCTCCTGAACTTGGAAAGGAAATAATAGAGGAGGATTCTGGGAAAGGTGAAGGGTCTGTTTTTTCCTTCGGCTCCAAAACAGCTCCACAGGCCTGTCTCTGCAGAAGCTGCCAGAAGGAAGGAAAAGAAAAAACAATCTCCCAGATCTCGAGTGCAGACCTCGTGCTGGTAACAGCTAATGTTTACCCAGTGATGGTCGTCTGCCAAGTGCTGGGTGGGGCCATGGAGCTTATCCCTGCTCAGCCACGGAGTCTCCCAGAACACCGGTACGCCCATTTTACAGATGGGGAAATCGAGGCTCAGGAGATGCTGTGACTTGCCACGGGCTCCTGAGTAGAGTCAGGGTTCCGTTCCTGGTCTGAGCCCCAGACCCTGACATTGGAGGAGGGACCAGAGATGGGGGCTCACTATTTCCACTGGATTCTCGCTGCTGGGCAATGCTCCTGGGTTAGAAAGTCTCCCTGTGGCCCCAGACCGTGGCCTCGCCCCGCTCACTGCAGGGGGGAGGACGGGCTGACCGGGCCACTGTGCTGTCCCTGCCGTTGCCAAGGCGCGAGAAGCTAAAAGGCTAAAAAACCCACCCCGCTCCCTTTCCATTTCTTCTGGAGTGGACAGTGGCCTTTAACTGGGGATTCTTGGGGAGTCTTTGAACCCCATGAGAAAGGCTGCAGGAGTGAGTTGTGTGGCTCGGGGGGCATGGGAGCCACACAACTCCTATTTTTTTCATATAAAAATGAGAAACCATAGCTCCCTGCAGGGAGGGACAGTCATGTCTGTGAGGCCCGAGGAAGACCAGTTCCCCCAGGCTGAGCTCTTGGGGCAGATGGGGTGGGGGGGAGGGCAAAGGTCTGGCGTCCTGGGGACAGTGGTCCAGACCTCCGGAGGGAGGCCCTCTCCGCGTTGGTAAGGTGTGGGTATCCGGACCTCCCCACCCACCTTCCCGAGACGGGGAGTGTGCAGGCTGACTTTGGAAGCTTTTGCAAGGAGTAGGTAGCAAGTGAATTCAGTTCCTGGGCGCCCAAAAGCAGCTCCTGCTCAGATCCCTGCTAACACTTTGTGATCTGTGCAGCTGGGCCCTGTACCTCACCCCCACCTTGGCAATGATCGT